AAAAGTAAAACAACCTATATTAAGTAGCTATAAAAGGTGTAATAAGTAAAAAAGTATATAAATAGTAATAATTTTATTATCTTTATAGTATTACTAAAAATAAAATAAGTTAAAGCTTTTATAGCTATTAATAACTAGTAGATAGTAGCTACTAATAGTACACTTTTTTATATGCATGTTAAAGTGCTTTAACTAGTCTAAACTAAGCTAATTAGTAGTCTAGCTGCGCTTAAAAATTATAATAACCTAATTTTAAAGTAAAATTTCTTTTTTATACTAGTTTAAAAAGTAGTTACTACTTTAGAAAATAACAAAAAGTAAAATAGCCTACCTTTTAGCATTAATGCCTTAGATAGCTGTTGTCTACTTCTAGTTACCTAGCTAGACTGCTTTTAGCTGTTCTTATCTCTTTAAACTTATAATAACTGCTTTAGTAGATATTAAGCCTATTATAAACCTTATTTTATTAAAGTTATACATGTTATTATTCTAAATGCTATACTTAGCTTTAATATTCTTTATAAAGTTAAACTAGTTTTAAATTACTATAAAATTTTTATAAAAAGCTTTTTTATAGTTATACTTATACTTAAACTTTACTTTAAGCTTTAAGTAACACTTAATAAATATATTAAGCTAGTTTATGCTAACATAGCCTATATTATACTTAGTGTGTAAAGAATTAGCTATATTAGCTATAGCTGCTAGCTAGAGAGGAAATCCTTATGCATTTAGCTTAAGTATATGCTAAGTAATTACCTACTTTTTATTATTATCTAGCTTTTATAAGTTAGCTATATAATTAGCTTAAAAAAGTTATCTAGTGTGTTAGTTACTTATTATTTTTTAAAAAACTTTATAAATAGCTGCAGCATATTGCTTAAAAAGTGTTATGTTTTATTTAAAAGCTTAAAGCATAAGCTACATCTAATGTTTCTTTAACATATCTAAGTAGTGTTATTAGAAATACATTAGTGTAAAAAAAGTAGTGTAGTAAAGTCTTAGCAAAAGTAAGCAACTTAAGTGTGTAAGTAACTTGCCTGTGAAGTACGTTATTAATAAAAATTCTAATCTTAGGTATGTGTTTAGTAAAGTAGATTTACTTGGTCTAAAAAGTACCTAAAAGGTCTCTTACACTTAAGGTAGTAAGAGTAGTATAAAGTGTTGTTAAGAGTATTTTAGTAGTTAGTAAGAGTTAACTAGTAGTTTTTAGCTAGATTAGTTACTTAAGCTGTGCTTATAATTAAGTAATTTAATTATTAATAAATATACTACTAAAGGTTAACTTTAAATTAGGTAGAAGCATAGCTTTAGGTGCTGTAGGAGTAGGTTTAGCTATTAACATAGATTGTTAATTAACTCTAGAGGGCTTACTTTAGCTAGAGCGTATTTTAATTCTAGAATTAAAAGGTAGTTAGTTAGACATTAGCAGTTACCTTTGATTTTAATAAGTTATTAGTAGTCTTTAGGTTTTTACCTTAGCGCACTTTTTATAACTTTTCTAAAAGTAATCTTAATTATAGAGGATAGAAAGTTTTAAACCTAAAAGCTTTAGTTAACTAAAGGTTAATAAGATCTAGTCTATAAACTAAATAGTTTAATATAATAGTGTGTAAGTATGTTAGATATGCGCACCTACTGTTAAGACAGGAGGAACGTTTGACGAAAGCTGCTACATAGTACGAGCAATAAGCTCGAACAGTATGTTGCTGCAAATTGCTGCATGTTGCAAGCTGGTCGCGCATAGGGCAAGTGCGCGAGGGACTCAGATCAGCAAAACAAAAAGCCAAGCAACACGGGTAGAGCAGAAAAAGGATTGATAAATTAATACAATTAATCATCATCCCATACATCACATCCAAACCCATCATTCATCTTAGGAAGCCTAGAAACAGTGCTTTAATCTGACAAAGTATTATAACTTAAACTAAATTAAACACGTCTTAGAGCTTAGACATAGTTAAATAAATAATTAGTGTAATATTATAATAAGGCTGTTACTAGTAAAAGTAAGTTTTTTAATATAATGTAACAGCGCAGGCAAGACAATAGGTTTAAATACAGTAGAAATCCACTTAGAGGAATATAGAAGTGCGTGGGGACTCTAAACCTAGGAATGCTATTAACACCTATAGGCCTTGTATAAAAGGATATTAGAAAACTACTAAGCTAGCTACAGGGCAAGGTGCAACTAAATACATAAGGGAATAGGGGTACAGTAGGAGGCAGGGCAGAGTTGGGGCCAGGTTGAGGTCGGGGCTGATACGGGGGCCTTCTAGAGGTTCCGGGCGACCTGATGATTCATAAGAATCGAGTCAGGGTCGGAGCTGATACAGGGACCCTTCAGATAGGTTCCGGGCGACCTGAGATGGAACGAGAATCGTTACACCTATAGGCTTTATATAAAAGAATATTAGAAAACTACTAAGCTAGCTAAGAAGAGAGGTGTAACTAAATACTTTAAGGAATAAGAGTAACTGCAGGGGACAGGGTTAAGTTAGGGTTAGGGCTGATACAGGGACCCTTTAGATAGGTTCTAAGCGACCTAAGATGGAACAATTTATAAGAATTGTTACACGTACAAGGCAGCCTTCTAAACAGCTAGACAAGCCTGCTTAGCTGCCAACTCTACTCTCTTCTCCTCTATATAATAGATTTTAGCCTAAGCTTTCTTCTATTAAGCTAGAAAAGCTTACTTATTACTTTTAAAGTAATCTTATTTTATGTTAGAAATAACAAAATAGCATTATAACTCTTTCTAGTTACAACAGACATAAAAGAACGTGGAAGATAAAGAAATAAAACACTATACACTCTTCTTATAATAAGAACTGCATAGGGCTATTATCTTACAACTAAATAAGAATAAATAGACAGCGTAGCAGGCACAGCAGCAACAGATAGGTTAAGGTACTCTAGCTATTAGCAGACAGAGATAGAGAAAGAAAGAAGAAGCGCGTGTATAATAAATCTTAGAAAATAGAGATATTTATGCTCTAAGAAGAGTTGCACAAGCTATAAGCTTTAAGGCGAAGCTTAGAGAGGGAGAAGTAGATGTTACAACTGCTAGTTAGGCTAGAGGAACATGTAGGTCTCTAACTCTATAAGAGAAGAACAGACTAATGCTAGTAAGAGCACAGCCTACAAAGGTTACGTCACATAACGCTCTAAACAAGTATAGTATATAACTAGGCATAAGAAGAGTGGTTGTAAGACTTAGCGAGTGGTTGCAGTGGTTGCAGGCCTGGCTCTGCGACTACACTTAGAATGTTGCGACCGCCGCGACCACTCTTAACTATATAGTCTTAACCTCCCACCTCTAGTAGAAGGTTGTAGTTATTCTTTACTTTAGGACAGAGTCTTAGGTATAGTAATATACTTAATATCCTTTCTAACTAGAAGGGTGTTTGTACTATTATTCTATTTATAATAGTATAAACACAATAGTTATCTTACTCTTACACCTACTCTTATGCCTCACTCTTATTCCTTAATTGTCCTCTTGCTACGCTAGGACTGCCTAAGGACTATACACTCTTAAACGCTGTTGTAAGTCTACGCAACAAGTACTACCTCTATTACTCCTTCTCCACTCTTCTTCCCCTTAACTAAGTTACCGACAGAAGGTATCTAGCAATAGGAAAGTCGAGGTAAGATATTGTAACAATTTGCTACTGTACATGCACATGTACAACGTCATCTACGCAGATTACCTGTAAAAGATATTACTAATAGCACTACTAGGCTAGCTTAACTCTAAGGAAAAGCCTATTAACATTAATAGTTACTTTAAATAGCCTGTATAAAAAATTCTTAACAGCTGTCTCTACTACTACTGCCTGTAGTATAAGGTTTTTCAAGTAGCTTATAACTTTAACTTTATCTAATATAACATCTAAAAGTTTATAGAAGCTTTGCATAAGGTAACAGACTTTTATAGCGCATATCTAAACAAACTAGGCTCTCTAGCGCAGTTAGAAGCCTAGCTGTAAGCGTATAAAGTAGAAGAAGACATAGAGGCAATAAGAAAGAATAACTAGTTAAAAGAACTTGCTAGTAGAGAGGACTATTATAAATGCTAAAAAACGCTCTATACATGTTATTATTATACATAACTACAGACTTAGGGACAAGCCTGCTTTAGAGGGGGGTAATGTGACAGTGCTGCTTGTTAAGCTCTACTGCTAGTTATATAATCTTGCTAAGTGCTAAGCAAGCGCGCTAGCGTCTTAGCGCTGCGTAAGCTTTTCTCTTGCAAAAACCCTTTGCCTTCTTCACTCTCTATTCTAGTTTAGCTAAAATAGAGCTGACCTACTCTACCTCGCTTCCCTAGCTCCACACGATAGTAGAGACAGTGCTTGTCATCACAAGCCTAGAGATTTCCTAGCACATTTAGAGAATAAAACAACCTTATCTTTTAAATATTTTAGCTACTAATTCTAATAGGCTTCTCTATAATCTAAGTCTAGCTGTTCCTCTATCATTTCTTTCTAAGCTCTTCAATCACACAACTTTGCAAATCCCCTAGCAGGGGTCTTTTGCCACTGTCGGCATTTCCATGCTCTTAGAGAAGAAAACATACATTATTACAGAAAGTAATGCGAAAGCAATAGGTTAAAATAAGGGAAATTTCGCTGATAGAGGATTTTGAATGAGAAATTCTGTATGATTAGCATGATATCACCTACAAGGCCAACTTGTTAGGTCTATATAGGGAGGGCAGAACAGGGAGCAGAGGAGAATTCTAAAGTAGTTGACAGCAGTCCACATTAGTCGATATATGGAACAGAGCTCTCACGTGAATGGAGGCGAATCCATTTAGTTAACAAAGACGATAAGATATAAGGAAAAGTATATTCATACAGCCCTTGCCATATGAGCGGCGAGTTGGATCAATCACGAACATTTACCCATCATCCATTTTACTCACATCATTCCTCATCTTCTCAGGGTGGGATACACCCTCTGGGGCAACCCCAGTTAAGTACACTCTGTTCGGTGTATGCAGCACTGCTATTGTTACCGATAGTGACATTGACGCTCAATATCTCCAGTACAGGCCATCTTTCATCTCCGTAAAGCGAATAAATAGTCGCGCCAAATTCAACTTTGTGGCCCAGCGGCAACCCCTCAAACCGCTTCGGTACCTTAGTTTGCACAGCAATGGTCGCTTCATTTCCCAGATTGGAGTACTCCTTTCCGATTAAAAATGTGTCTAGTTCTTCTAGTTCTTCCCTGTAATGAGGCAGAGAGCTCCAGCTGAAAGTAACAGCAATGTCGGTTACGGAGACTGTATAGTTCACAGAGCTGAGATTTACGATAATAGTATCGTCAGGCTTGACACTGGTAGGTACCGAGAGGTCGATGATACGTCCGCTGGCAAAAGCGATAATTGGTGCAAGCATGCGAAGAATTGATAGACGCATAATAGACATTCTAAGGCCTTTGGAATGTATAGGAAGTCGAGCAAACAGATATCCACGCCTAATACTTCATGCGAGACCAGCCGCTGGTGTTCGAGAGTGGGGGAATTTATAGATTACCTCCAACTGCTACAGCCTGGTTTGTGGTAACTAGTGCATGTGTATTCCGATCTGTGAGACCTGGGGGAAGTGCGTGGCATATGACTTGTTCTAACCTGGTGTAGCGGAATGACGCTTCTCCTGCAATACGTCATGGGGCCATGGGTTCCAGAGTGATGTGTGATAAACATGAATGAGACGTGGTCTTTTAAGCCCAACAGAATACTATAGGTAGTATATTAAAGCTTTTACAGCGTTCTTGCGAATAAAATGCAATGGTAGTAACTAAATAGCGTTGTTATAGACATTTGTAGGTGTAGAGTATTAACCTATAAGTTATAAAGTCATGGTAACGTACTTCACAGGCAAGTTGCTTACACACCTAAGTTACTTACTTTTACTAAGACCCTACTAAACTACTCTTTCTACACTAATGCATTCCTAATAACACTACTTAAATATGCTAAAAGAATATTAGATATAGCTTACACTTTAAGCTTTTAAATAAGATGTAACACTTTTAAGTAATATACTATAGCTACATATAAGCTTTTTTAAGAAAGAAAAAATAGCTAATTTTATAGCTAACTTATAAAAGCTAAGTAATAATAAAAAGTAAGTAATTATTAAGCACATACTTAAGCTATACGTGTAAGAATTTTCCTTTTAGCTAGTAGCTACAGCTAATATAGCTAATTCTTTACACGCTAAACATAATCTAGGCTATATTAGCATAAACTAGCCTAGTATGTTTATAAAGTGTTATCTAGAGCTTAAAGTAAAGTTTAAGCATAAGTATAACTATAAAAAAGCTTTTTATAAGAATTCTAAAGTAATTTAAAGCTAGTTTAGCCTTAAAATTGTCTAAAGATATGTTGCGCAGGAAGCGTAGTTGCTTAAGTAAGCTTAGTACTTAGTAATATTAGTCTAGTACTATATGTTAGCTTTTTTTAGAGGGTTCTTAGCAGTAATTACTCTAAGTATAGGCATTTTTAGAGCGCTGTCTATAGAATTTAGAGCAGGGTTGCTGTTTACTATAGTAATAGTAATTACTATAGTAATCTAGTAATTACTATTTACTAAAGATAGTATAAAAGTATAACATAAGTCTTAATTAGCTATTTAAAATTTATAGCACTTTTAACTTTATTTTTATTATTTTACTTAGACTACTATA